ATTCTGTTTCAGGTTACACATACATTATTTTAATACAAAACACATTGGCGACCATTACACAACCATAGAGTAGGGATCAGAGCAATCATAGACACATTTCATTGCCACTCTCAACACCTCCCCTCAATGAAATATTTCAATAAGCTAAACCCTTGATTAAGATGAACAAAAAAAACTTTCTCAACTCTAACTTAAAGTCTGCCCCTTAACAACCACATTTAAATTATTTTATTACTTTTACACCTCCCCTTAATAAAATATTTAAATAAACTATACTCTCAGATAACATGAACAAAAAAAAATACTTATTCTTAACTTACACTTCCCCTTAACAAACAAACAATAACTTCCCCTTAAATTCTTATACAAGCAACTGATCCCTTAATTTACTAAATGACACACCACCTAATGCTTTGGTTAATATATCTGCAAGTTGGTCACTGGTACTTACATACTTTAACTGTATTATTTTATTTTCCAATTTTTCTTTACCTAATGCTTGCTTTATATCCAAATGCTTAACTCTAGAGTTACCAGTGGTCATCTGTGCCATTTTGATAGTGGACTGGTTGTCTTCATACACTACAATGTTTACTTGACAACCAAAAGTTAACAGAATATCTTTTAACCAACATGCCTCACTAGTTGCTAAACACAAAGCTATGAATTCAGCGTCTGTTGACGACAATGCAACAGTAGGCTGCTCTCTAGAATACCATATTACTGAACAACCAAATACTTTAAAAATACACCCCGATGTTGACTTACGATCATTACAACCACCCCAGTCACTATCACACAGCTTATAGACACATAGCTTATAACGTCATTATTACAATCTTTATAGTATTTTAAACACAAATCCAAACTTCATCTTATATATCTTAAAACATTTAACAAAAGCTTATATAACAATTCAGATACACAACTTTGATAACGACTAAGTATATTTACTACTGCACAAATATCAGGTCTAGTCCCCATAGCTGCATACATTAAGCTGCCCACTAGTTGTCTACATTTGCTCTCTATTTCAACACTTTCTGAACAATCTCTTTTTAATATATGAAAATTATAACTTTTATCAATAAGTAGTTTCAAAGGTTTACAATTTAACATATTATAATTTGACAAAATGCTTTTCAAATATTCCCTTTGTGAAATTACAGTTATACCTTTATTTAACTCTTGCTTAACATCAATCCCCAAGAATTTACTAACAGACCCCAACTGTTTCATTTGAAATGTATTACATAATGTATTTTTCAGTTAACATAACTCAGAGTGATCATTCCCAAAATATAAGATATCATTTACATATAATAACAGAAATACTTTCTTTGAACCTTCACATTTACTGTACAAACAAAAATCTTTATCACATTGTTTGTAACCTAAAGACAACATAACATTATTGAAAGTAGTGTTCCAATATTTAGGAGACCTTTTTAATCCATAAATAGACTTATTTAATTTTACATATTTATTACAATTATCAACACTTTTTGGAAATTTTAAATATAACTCCTCTTCAAGTTTTGCATTTAAAAAGGCTACATACATCCATTTGACTGATTTCTAACCCTAGCTTAGTAGCTACACAAACAAAAATACGAAATATAAGTCATCACAAACATTCTGTTTCGAAGCCCCTGGCCACAAGCCTAGCTTTGAAACTATCTTCTTTCTTTTTTAATACCCATTTGCTGCTAATTACTTCTTTTCCCTCTGGTACCTCATCTACCTGTGTCCATGTATTATTCTCTTTCAACTGATTAAGCTCTTTTCTGACTGGGTCTTTCCATTTTTCCGCCTCTAATGATTTCATTGCTTCTTCATAACTTTTAGGCTCTGCAGCAAACAGATGGTAATCTTCTAAATATTTAGGTCTTTCTCTTCTTCTCTTACTCCTTAACTCTTGATCTTGAACTTCCACTGTTTCTGCCTGATTATCTACAGTTCCTATAGTATCTGACGTCATATCCTGGACTTCTTCTTTCTGTTCTGTATCAGCTGTTTCAAAGAACTCTTCCTCACTTATCTCTTCTTCATTTTCCGTAGGTATATCAAGTATTATTACTTCCTCTTTTTCTTGTAGGTTATGTACTTCTTTCTTTCCTTCTATACACGACAGACACTTCGTATTGTCCACTTTATAACTTATGTCGTTGTTCTTTAGCACTCCACAAACATAATCAAAGTTTTGGTGACATAATCTTTCATGCCACTGTGACAGTGTGGCAACTGCCACAACACTCTTAGACGATTTGTTGGACACCTCTAACACATAATAATTTCCCTTACGAGTGCCCACTGCACACAGTTCACTGTCTTTGTAAAATAAACGCTTATTGTCTGTCATCGATACTTTATAACCTTTACTTGTAGCTTTAGTCAACGAAAATAAGTTAATTTTAATTTCTCGCACATACAGCACATTGCTTAACGTTGATTCCACATAATGTTTACCATTAAATATTAAAAGTTCAATATTTCCAACCCCAACAAGAGGTAAGTATCGTCCATCTCCAACAACAACAAATTGATCTGATGTTAACACAGACTGATAACTTGTAACCAAAGAACGATCACAAGTCATGTGCTCACTTGCCCCACTGTCTATGAGCCATCGCTTATCACAGATTAAGTTAGGTCCTGTTGTCATAGCTGTAGCCATCGACACTATAAAAGCATTACCTTTCTTTTTATACACATCACTTTGTCTCTTTATCTTCATATTTTTATTCTTTAAACAGTTTGCCTTTAAGTGTCCAAAACCCCCACACTCATAACACTTGCGTCTCTCTTCACTTTTACAATATTTTGCCAAATGTCCAAGTTTCCCACACTTAAAACATTTTTTTGTAAACCCTTTACTTTCACTCTTCTTTATATATAATGCAAGATTCTCTTTTTCTTTATTATTATTATTTTTCAGGTTCAACCTCTCTTCCTCAACAAGCAAGCGAGCCACTAAATCTTCATAGTAATGTTTGTCAGTTTCCACAGACTCCCAAGCAGATACAAAATGACTATATGTATTTGGTAGCGACATGAGTATTTTTGTCATAATACACTTATCTGAAATCTTTTCACCAGCTTGTTTTAACTGACAGATCATCTCTTGTAGTTTAGCCAGGAACGTTGAAAGGTCCCCATCCTCAAACTTATACTGTAGAAAGCGTTGTTGCAGCATCAAGTACTAGTGGCTGATGTCGCCTCATATACAGTGTGTAGTTTACTCCATATAGCAGCCGCCGAATCACAAGTTAAGATATGCACCATGGCTGCCTCACTGATCCTCGATACAATAATAGCTTGTGCCTTAGCGTCTTTAGTTTGCCAACTTTCATCTTTAGTGTCAGGATTCTTTTCATCGCCGTTGACTACCGAATATACGCCTGCCCCTCGCAAGGCTATAGTCATCTGGAATTTCCATACATTCCAGTTCTTCTGCCCTTCCAGCCTGATAGCTGACGCCGCCATTGTGTTCACATAGTGTTCACTGCCGGATTTAGGGGAGGGCAACCGGGGCGAAAGCCCCGGGGCCTCCACAAACGGGGGGGGGCCCCACAATAGAGACTTTGGAAAAAAAAATCTTTCGAATTCCAACTAGTAAACACTAGTAAACATCTTTTCCTTTGATATTTTCTTTTTGATCTTTTACCTATACCCAGGGCCAAATTTAAGGCAGGGCAGGTGTGACTGTGGCCCAAGGGCCTCCACAACAGCTTAAGAAATAACAATATTTCGATGGGTCAATAAGCATACAAATCCTAAGTGGCCCGGGGCCTCCACAATCCTAAATCCGGCCCTGATAGTGTTCTCCATTGTACGTGTACGCGTGATAACAAACTCCGCCGTGCGTGCCTGATGCCGTGCCTTTCTCGCCACACGACCTCCCACAGACAATGCCGCTGCCCCCGACAACCACGTAGCTCACCGCCGCTCCGGATTTTAGCCTCGCTGTTGTCGAATTCACGCCAACCACACCAACGCCACTTCTCAGCGTTTTTAATTTCGCCAATCTTCACCTAAAATAGAATTATGTGCACTGGGTCCATAACCTGTTAGGACTTTATAATGCAAGACCATTTTATTTTATAGAACGAGCTACGTTTATTCTGTTTCAAGTTACACAAACATTATTTCAATACAAAACACATGGGCGACCATTACACAACCATAGAGTAGAGATCAGAGCAATCATAGACACATTTAATTGCCATTCTCAACATATTTATTTATATGCGAGCATCAGGTATTCTTCTCTGAACAGCAACATTGCGCTCAAGCTACACGCGATTTACGCGATAGTTTTAGCGCCAAAGTTTTAATTTGCAGGATCCGCGCTTTGAAGGTCCGGGATCCAGCAGATTAATAAAAGCGGGATCCCGCGGGAATGCGTGCTCCTGTTTTGCGGGATTGCAATCCCTATTTATGAGTCGACTCATAATTTAATAGAATTTTAAGTGTTATAGAGATTTATAGGATAAAAAAAATACACTTCGGTTCTAATGGACCTAAATAAAAAACACGAATAAACATTTAAAATTAAGTCAAAACACATTGTCCAGCTAGAAATATTATTAGACTGTGTAAATGAAGCAGAAAAAGATATTGTCTTAAGATTTTGACCAAAACCACTGTCGCTTGATTTCGAGTACCGGATGGGCTAACGCAAAAACATAAATTTTCTTTATGGCCCCGAGCAAGAAATCCGGATGGTCATGGCTACTTACTTTAGGATAAGCACCTTTTTTCGATGATACATGCATCGCAATCAATTTGCCCACAAACTACTTCTTTCTGGGCTTTTCCGAGCGTCAAATTATGATTTGTGCAAGGTCAAAGAAAATATACACTACGCGAACCAAGACTGTCCAACTGTTGCAACTGTAGCCCAGAAGGATAATTGACCGTCCATCAGTTAAATGACTTTTCTGTGTGACCATTTTTTTGGATAGAGCGGTTTATAGAATGAGATGCTGCGTACTCACCATTGACCTTCAAAAAGATAAGCTTGCTCAGGCCGGCTCCGATGTCGTTCCTAGCTTCACAGAGATAGTGGCCTTCGCTATCCTTGGCGACTCTCTCGAAGACAAGGGAGCCATTTTCCAGAACTCTTGAATTACCCTCGAACATGAAGTCTTTGTACTCGCCAGGAGTATTGCCTGTTGAAAGAAGTACAATGTGAGATACATCCGATGGAAGTAAACCTTATCTATAGATATAATTATATCTTCTTGCATATATGCTTCTGCATATATGCAGGAGGATATAATTAATTTTCCTCTCAATTCGAAAGATTCACTTAATTTTGATAAAAGGTGACCACCAAATAGGCGATTGTGGTACCAGAATCGCACATTTACCAGCCTGGCCTGACTGATTTATCGACAGAAACTCAAAATCACGAAAAGGTGTTATTCAACTTTGGTTTCACCTAAGATGGAGTTTACTTCCCCCAACGGGAACTCCAAGTCAAATGAAAAATCCAATACACTATAACTGTTCGAGAAATTGGTAATTTTTAAAAGGAAAGAATCTTCTAACTTTTAGGTTACAAGATTCTTTCAGTTATAAGACAAGATATCTTTGTAAAGGTAAAGGAACCGAGTAGTTTTATTGCAAAGATAAATGGGGCAATAAATTCTCCAAATAACCGCTTGCTTACACATTATGGTCGGCTTATTTCATTACTGATCTCACGAACTATTTGAAACGATTCACAAGTTGTTGAAAATTTATGTCCGATAGGTTTTGTTAATATAGGCGCTATGCACGTCACGTCTCACTGGGCTCACGGAGAAAACTTAAAATAATACACTTGCTTCATAACTTTGTAAAAGACTCTTTAAGGGGTTATAAAGCTCTTTTGCTAACTTGCCGTTTTATACTTATCTATATCTGTATAAAGTATAAGTATAAAAGGCAACCGTTACTAACTGACGTATCAACACACAGCTCAAACCAGTTAACGGATTGCGCTGAAAGGCACACATATAACTTTTATGATGTAGGCGTGCGTTAAGCAAGCATTTTCTAAAACTCCCCCCTAAAGGGGAAATTGGGGGTTCAAAGTTTGTATGGGAAACCAATATTTCCACGCAGACGAAGTCGTGGGCATTCACTTGACATTTTATAAAAGACTTCAAATGGTATTTAAAGTCGACTTCTTGTTAGGTCTCGGAATATAGGTACTTATTTTAATAACTTATTTTGATAACTAATAAAATTCTCTTTTTTTTGGTAATATTAATTATATCATTCTTCCTTTTTTAAGTGTGGTAGTTATATATATTACGAACTAATATAAAAAATAGTACGAACCCACAGCTTTCTTCCACATGATGGTTGGTTTCGGGTAGCCGTCCGCTTGGCACTGCAGGGTGACATCTTGTCCAGCAGCTACTGCTACATCGTTCGGTTCCAAGCGCCAACGAGGAGGAACTGGTTTCAACAGATTTGGATTAGCTATGTTCCTATACTAAGACTTGTCATAGTTTTGAACTTCCATGGTCACTAACACTATACTCGTGTTAATGATAATAAAATAAATATTTCCAACACTCACACCAATTAGCCTAGCCCCAAAGTAAGCACTGTAAAGCTTGTGTTATGGGATACTAGGGTAACGGATAGAATACATATATTTTACATGTATAAGTATATTAATATAGTAATACATATTAAACATCCATGACTGGAGTACAAATGCTCGTATTCATCACACAAACATCTGCCCCCACCGGGATTCGAACCCGGGACCTCTCGAGTTGGCGACACCATGAAACCCGGCGTATAAACCACTCGGCCACGGAGGTCGTTATTATGTTACTAACGGGATTGCCCCTCTTCCTATGTTAGAGAGACGAGAGTTACTCCGTGATCATGGCGTTTGTAACAGTGCTGAAATATCGGGGACTCGTAAAAATCAAGGTACATTTTAGCAATCTCGTTAATAACAAAAAAATATCATAGTATATTTTTTGACAAAACAAATTAATTGATTCAAATCTAAAGAAAATTTTACTAGAAAAAAATCCAAGCGGACCAGGAAGCAGACAGGAGTCAAACGCGCACCCTCCGCTATCCGGGCGGATGTACAGACCATTATACTACCGCGGTCCTAATTGTCAGTGTCGAGTTTTTCTAGCATTTCTTAGGTTGCAAGGCAGCGCTATCTCTTCGCATTGTAGGTAACTCACAATGTCAAATGAATACTTTTACGAGTCAATCAATCTTTTAATTCAACTAATTCACTTAAAAATTCGCTTCGGAAGGCACGTATAGCTTTGTTCCCGGCAGTATATGCACCTAGCACCCACCAATCCACACTGGGTCCGCGTGGTCAGGGCCTCGTCTCCCTAAGAGGGACAGCCATTAATAGGCTGATGATGATGATAGTCACTAAAAAGTGTAATTTAACCATTTCTAAAGTCAGAACTGAATATGTCCTATGGTCTTAAAATGGTAAACTTATATATAGGTACATATATTTATTATCAATAATTTTCAGATATAAATAGGACAAAAATTTATATCGAAGTCCCGAAGTTTATGAAATCGGGGTTAGGCGTGAAAAAATTATTTTTTCGCTTCAACAGCGGGCAGTATTTATAGGATTCCTGGAAAACTACTGACCGAGGTACTCAATATTTATTGCAATCATAACATTCATATTATATATTCCATAGCACTGTATTTATAAGAGAAGAGGAGGACGCCTTCTTATTAATTTTTAATCGGTTCGATTGAATTCCCTCAGCTTTTGTTAGTATATTTTATTTGTTGTTTTAGACCGATTGATAATAATAACATTGAGGTGGAAAATGTACTGATTTGGCAATAATCGAGTCATCCACAATTAAACTACTTGGCTGTAGCTTGATTACAGTTAATCGTCTTTCATACTTTTGGCATAGCCATAATACCTAATTAGTCTTGTGGAACAAAAAAGACAAACAGTGCAATAGGTGCAACGTCATGTGGAGAAGCAGCAGAGCAAAGATTAAAATCTTTGCAGGAGAGTACAAAATTTTGGACACTCCATCCACACCACACTTATTATTTCCATTTATATGTTTTTCCTATATCATTAATTCATTAAAATAAGTGCAAAGTTCATTGAGAAGTTTTTTTCAGTTTGTTTTAATATTGTGACTTCACTGTAAAAGGTTTTTTGTTCTTACTGCTTCGCATTAAACCGACATTGCGAGGCATGATTTCTTATGACAGCTTAATCGTCTCTCTGATTTCAGCAAATTTTTCCTTATTGAATTTGGCTACCAACAAAGATTACGAAGGTTGACGAAAAAAGAAATATATACCTATATAAAATCGTGAGATTCGTTTATGTTTTCCGATTTTGGACTAAACGAATGTCATATTTTATTTTATCTTATAGAAACTTTTCTTTCAATGTAATCGTTTTAGTGTTGCTCAGATATAAAACAATGATGTTAAGAAAAGTTCTAATAATAACGATATTTACCATTTACCGTCAGTGGAACTGTAAATCTTTCAGAGCCAGCAACGTTAGAAGCGATACACGTGTAATTCCCACTGTGGAGTGACGTAATATGCTCGATGACCAAGGAAGCGCTGTATTCGTCCATTCTCCTCGTGATTATGCCACTTGGAGCGTACGGCGATGACGTCACTGGCTGCCCATTCTTCTCCCATCGAAAAGCTATTGGCAGATCGCCCTCTAATATTTGACAAGATATCGCAGCTCTCATCCCTTCCCGTAGGAAATTTGTTAGGGGCTGAATTGGCAAGATTTTGGGTTGAACTGAAACAATAAAATATTTTCAAATAATCGTCTAAGCAACTTAATTAACATGAATTATGTAAACCTTGTAATTCAAAACATTTTTTTGTAAAAAGCAAGCACGTCGAATGAACTAAGAAAACGTAAATACGTTTTCTTAGTTCATTCGACGTGCTTGCTTTTCGATGGGTGCTTTATAAACGCCCACATCATTTGGGATAATTGTTTTCATCCAGATTTCCACTGAGATTTTTTTGAATTTTCATTTTATTGCCCTATTAACTGGGGGAGAGCTAGAATTTTAACGCTCAGTAGATGCCGCGGGAACGGTAAACGCGCTAACTTTAATGAATTACGGATGAGTAACTCCACCCCTCTTGAATTCGTGATTTTATAGCGCTTTAAATCTTACTAAAGAAAATGAGAAAGTTTATGCCCGATTTCAATTGAAGTTTGACACACTTACACGAAAATCATTGCTAAAATAGGGGTTTTACATAAAAAAATAAAATAAAAAGAAATTCCAGAATAGTAGATTTTTAACACGATTTCAATAAAAGCTTTTAGATAAATAAACATATGGAGGAAGAGAGGGTGAAGCGATTTATTCAGTCGAATTAGAGCGCCTCCGAGAAGTATGTACATTATTATGTCTTTCCTTGCGACACAAAAAGTAACTCGTGCATTGTCTACTCAAATTACCCAGAGGGGTTTTGATAACTTGATGTAGACATGCCGTCTGTTCGTATGCTCCCTATAACACAAAAAAAACACTATGATAATGTTATTTTTCTTTTTTAACTCTATCCCGAGTTGAATATATTCCAAATAAATATTTTTATTGCATGTTCCGCAATTTAAGATTGTCTTTCTTTATAATAGTTTGTTATATGAGAAAATTCTTACCTAGAATTTGGACTTCTACATCTCTTCTTGCAGCATGACGTTGTCGATTTGCAGCTTGGCAGGTGTAAGTACCGGCATCTTCACCACGTTGGGTCTGCTCTACAACAAGAGTTCCGTTGGGGAACACCTTTTGTCGTCGATTCAGTGGTAGTGTTTGACCGTCTAGGCAAAAATATGAAGAATTTATGTCACTTGTATTTAAAAAAAGATTGATACAATATGTAAAATATGAATCCTACCTGAACACGTCATGGTAAAAAAACGAAAAGGTATTTTTAAAGAACCAATGTCAAGAGGCAATCAATAAATGCCATTAAATCAAAAACCCTCTTCGTATCTGGAGCAAAAGTCCAAGGCTGGCGGATAAATTCTAATTTTAAATTGTTCGCATACAAGCGGGTCCAGTGACGCCGAAATTCGTTGCCGAAGCGGGATAAAATAAAATTTGGGCCGAGGCGAACGGGGAAGTTGCTCAATGTGGCACGCCTTCCTTGCTCAATTTCAAAATTAAACAGCGGCGTAAGGTTAAACAGAATGGCGGATTGTAGAAAAATATTTGAACAGATCTCCGTAAACTGGTGGCTGCGCATGAGACTTTTCTCATTACGTGAATATTTTAGATAAATTTGAATAAATTAAATAATCTAGATATTCTGAAAGGAAAAATATACCTAATAAGATTTTCTTTACAATTAAAAAAAAAACAGATAGACTAGTGGTAGCAGGAAAGAATCTTCTCCGAAACTTAAGTACGACGGTCGATTTAGTTAAAGTAGCATGCAAAATATAGGTATTTTTTTACCTCGAGACTGGTTTTTTAATAGTTAATTGAATCTTATTCTTAGATAAGTTCCACCACCTCATAAACTTTCATGACCAGGTCATTATTAGATTGATGTAGTTATATTGTTAATTTAAATTTCGCTACTTCCCACTATTAATTACTTATTTATCAATAGGAAATATATCTTAGTTTTTGTTTGAGATTGCAAAAAAAGGATATTCGGGTCGGTTAAACGAAAGCGTTCTATTATAAAGATAAGAAGCTTTTGTTGACAAGGGTCCGACCCTGTAAAAAAAATGCAAAGGAGTTACCGCTCTGTATTTTATCTCAAAACACGGCAATGGGCGACGACAATTTTTCTTCCAATTTGAACTAATTAATGAAGTTTTCGTTTCGAGTTATACAGTAAATTCTTAAAGATGATTTAATTGATATCACGCATAAAATGATTTATTTTATTATTTTGCTTATGATTGAAAAACACAACATAATGAAATTTATCGAAATTCGAAATTCAAGGGGACTGTATGAGAACAGAATAAATTTATGAAAGTTTAAAGAGCAAAAACTTGCTCGAATAAGCTATTCTCACTGATGCTTCGTTAGCAATTTTTAGCGTTGTGGACGCAGTTAAGAAAAACAGGGTTAGAACAAGGTTAGAATAACTTAGATTTGCTCCTAATTGGATCGTGCGAAGGTGTCTACTTTATTGGATTGCGAGGCGCAATTTTCTCTGCGGTTGGAATATTACGGACGGTGGATATAACATCAACATCTTTTTCCGGAGGAAAAATGTAAAAAAAGTTCCCAACGAAATAACTTACTTTTTCGGGACATTATTTAGGTTGGGAAATTGGCGTGCGCAAAAAGTTACTAACAACACAGAGATAGCAGTTCATTCCATAAATTACTGTATGTAGTATTAAATTTTTTGTTATATTATGGCTTGATAATTAAGATTGGCCGATAATATTGGGTGAACGTCTAGGCTGCCTTTTCAAAGTGGCTATTAACTGCAGGCCATTAATTTCTTGGGTTCGGTCCAAGAATATATTCGATGTGGCGTTAGGTTAATTGAGAAGTTGTTTTAACTTTGTAAGCTTACTAGCTTTCCGTCTGCTGTTTCGTCCGAATTGATTACGTGATTATAGTTGTTATCTTTTCTTTACTTTTATCCCTTGTCGTAAGCCCCCAGAAGATGATGTCTAAAAGTTTCTACCGTTCTGTCTAATTAGCCTACACAGCAATTTTATACTTCGTAAAAAATTACTTAGTTCCATACAAAATTCTACCTCTTTGGATTGGTCTTGTTGAATTCACAATATCCTTTTCTACTTCCACGCCGTATTTCATCGTTGTAGGGCAAGAGTTTGTGAGATTTAGTGATCAGTCAGTATATGAAATTAACCTTTCGCTTTTGTAAACATAGATAGTTTGTACTGCAAGGTATTTTATGATCTTCATTTGGATCCTATGTTTTAGTTATTTGTATTAATTTTGATGTTGGAATGGTTATTTCCTCTTTAAATAAATATGATAGTACTTACTTACCTAAAGTTTAGCAAAAATAAAAAGTATGCTTATCAATAACTCATTTGTTTTTAAATTTCGTTGTTTGATTGTATTATTCATATCTCTTAATTGAAATTTCACCAGAAATATTGCTCAGCTTTGTTGAAAATTCATTGGGAATTCTCAAAACCGATATTTCTCGAAAATTTTATCACAAAAGCATTTTGCTCAAATGATGTTTCTAGTAAATTTAATTTCGAGTCACAAAAACGCTGTGAAAGTAATAGGAGACTTATAATGTATCTTATAAAGCCATTTCTAAGAACAAGAACACAAAAGTCTTATCAAAGAACTGAGTTTTACATGCCTTGTCTGGAGAAAGAAAGAATTCCAAAGTTACCCGATGTGTCGATTCCTTATCCCTAGTTTCCTTAACGACCTGTTGCTACGACGAAAGCCGAGGAGCCGCACACCCTAATTCGGTACTATTTTACCAAAGCGTCGTCTCATAGTTTATCCCCACGTCTTATTGCGTTTTGGAGTAGACTTCTTTTACGAGTGCCCTTGTTTGCAAATATACTTTTAATATCAATATTTTTACTTATCTCCTTGATCGTGTCGGAAGAAATATTAAGTTTGTGCTATTTTACTTTCCGTTCAATTAATTATGGCAACAACTTCGGAAAGGTCTGACGTCGGTGATATCTTTCGTAATCCATTTACGTCAGATCTGTTCAGTTTCAGATGATTTATTTTACTCTCCACCAGTGAACATTAAATATAACACTGTAAAGTCTGCTACAGTAAAATCTCAAACCCTTGAACGATAACTTTAGTCGACCTCCGTGGCTCGAGTGGTATTGCTTAAACGGATATGTCGCGTACATACATGTAAAGGAAAGAACCTTAATTTTTTTTAAGGCGGTTGAAAAGAGCAAAAAACATGAATACGGCCCAACAGCCAGTAAATGGTAATCATACCTTAAGACCTTCTTAAGATTACAATTTACCATTGGGAACCTTAGATGAAAAAAAATAGCAGTAACACAACAGAGTTGTGTAATTTTGCTGCAGGCTATTGAAAGGTTTATTGTTGCCCATACTTATGAGAGGGAGGTAAGGTCATATTTATGAAATGTAGAGGACTTCCATTTTACAGGAAAATACTTTTTGGTTAGTTGGTGTTGTGTTTATGACTGATGATGAATAAGGTTCCAGGGCTCCATGGGTAGGAGAAAAGCTATGGCGAATGGACAGGGAGTTCGTGACAATAAATCCCATCAGGGAAAGGATGTCCTTTTGCATCGCGGGTGCGGCATCGTCGGGCACACGAGATGTGGACTAGGCAACACTGTAATCGCGAAGGCAGCCGAGAGTAAGGGTCTGGCGAACCTGGGCTAGTGCGGATGATTGACAACCACGTGTGCATATTGCACGTGTTCACATATTGCTCCAAGTGTTCGAATTTTAAATTAATTATGCTTCTTCAGTTGCACATACAAAGGAGACCTGGCACTTTTCATAGAAAAAATGCTAAACTTGTATACAATTGAATTTGGTCTCAAAATAAAGCCAAAATTATTTGCTACACAAAACTACTTTTGCCTTATTTTTAGTGAATCGTGGAAAGAAGTTATATAATGATTAATATTTTTTGATATGGAAACCCTAAATCTTCAAGGTACAGAATACTTTACTTCAAAATATTACTCAAGTGACTGTAAACACCATTATTCCTTTGCTTTTTCTAAATAAAAAACCAAATGTCAATTTGACAATCCTAAAATACAAACAAAAAATCATTCGCATTTCGCATCCGCTCCCGCGAACTGTGATTGCCTTTTTATCCGTTATTTCTCTTGACGACCCGGTTACATATCTACATATAGAGGTTGTATTGACAAACCTACGTATTTGATATTGACAGCTAGCTGCTGATGACAAATATTGTCAGACAACGTTACCCAATTATGAAACACAGATAAAAAAATTAAAAAAGTATATAACTTTGGCACAAAATGCCGGGTGTCCTTTATCGTTTTTCAAAACCTCTTTTAGCGTGGAAAATTATCAACAGTCAAGCTATCGTATCGTAGACACACAGCACGCTAATTCATTACCACAGAGCTTATTAAAATTTCGAACGCTAATTTTAGCGCATTTTGTACCAATGCTTCCCGAAGATTCGTCGCACAGGTGTGGGAGAAGCATTAGGTACCTATATAAATTCCTCGGAGAAAACAAGACAAAACACGTAAAACACAAAATAATTAAACGTCAACTTTATGTCACAGGGAAGCGGCAATGTCTGTTACGTCAGTTACGATTGTTCAGAAAACAGACAACAACAAGTTCGAAGAAAATGCGAAGAGATGGCGCTGCCTTGCAGCTTAAGAATAGCTAGAAGGAATTTCGACGCGGTCCGTGAGGGCCGCGGTAGCATAATTGGTCAGTGCATTCGCCCGGATTGCGAAGGGTGCGGGTTCGAGTCCCGTCTGCTGCCTGGTCCGCGTGGAATTTTTTCTAGTTATATTTTCTTTAGATTTAAACAACAAGTTCGTTTCCATTTTCTGGAGACACGTACAAATATGCGAAATTCTACGCTATTGTTTTGTTGGGAAATCAAATGGGCTGATAAAATATCCTCAGCTCATTTTTGCATACACACATCAAAAAAAGTTGCGATCACTTTAAAAAATAGTTTGTTTTTTGTGTTACAGAAGACTTTTTTGCAATTACTTTTTCTGATAAGATTTATTTTAAAATTAGAATGAGAACGTAAAACAATAAAATAATTCAATTGTTTTTCCATATAAAAAGACATGCAATCCAAGCTGACATTCATTCAGAAATCTGACTTAGTCAATATTATCGAATTTAAAATATTTTTTCACGGAAAGTTGTGATTTAAAAAATGCCACGAGGATTATCAGATGTTTTACGAGCCAGAATTGTAACTTTGAGGGAAGAAGGATATTCTACGAGAAAATAGCACGCAGAGTTGCCATATCTCAATCCTGTGTAGTAACCCCGTTGCAGAGGTACCACGGCATGGGTAAATTAGCTGATCGACCCCGCAGCGGTCGCCCAACTGTTTTGACAGCTGCTCAGAAGCGCTACATCAGGTTGCTGGTAGCCCGCGACCCAACAATAAACGCCACTTAATTAAAAGCAGAAATACGGGCCGCCTCCGGACTTGAAGTTAGCACTCAGACCATTCGGAATTGCTAACACAAGGCTGGATTACGAGCACGGAGGTTAAGGCGAGCACCTTTGAATTCACGAAAACGTTAGCAACGGAGATTACAGTGTTACAGTTTACAGTTCCTCTTCGTTTTGCCGGGGCTAGGCTGCGGCCTAGGCTAAAACGAAGGGTGCGGGAGTGCGTGTTCTTACATTGCTTATAAGTACCTCTCTTTGTATTAAAAACCGCGTATTGCAACACATTAAAAACGCATACATGCGCAGTGTTGCAGATCACGCGCCTACATGCAGAGAAACACGAGTTTTTATGGCAAAATCTGCACGATGGTGCAGATCTGCATTCCCACAACCACGCATGTGGTTCCGCCGCCACTCACCCCGTAGCGTAGTCGTTATAGTTTTTAAAATCTTATGTCTATTTCAAATATATTGTTTCAACAAAATAAAAGATACAGTGCAAGTAAAAGAGAAGCTGCGCAGATAAGCTCTTTAACATTTTTTAAATAGAGTCATGCACTTATGCCGTTCATTTAAAATGTAGTATAGAAAACGTGTCAAGAAACTGTTATTTCATACTTTTCTAAACTACACTGATTTAAGTTAAAACCAAATAACCGATCAAAAATTTAAAATCTGACTGAGACTCTTTTAGTTGTATTTACTCATTAATACATTATTATATTGATAAGCGACGATAATCCTATTTAAAAGTGTCTAATACGTATTACTTATGTGGTTGATTCAAACTTTAAAAAATTTTACTTATCTATATTTAGAACTATAATTAAAGTCGCGCTGGCGTCTCCTTGAGTATCCTTTAAAAGTATGACAAGAATATCACATTGAAAAAGAAAAATTTAAAATGTATACCATAGATTAATGATTGGTCTCGCTTCACTCGACTAGATACCGCGCTGTCAAAAAACAGCAGCTCCGTAAATGCGGCAACTCATGATTGTAGTGTGTGTATGTTTCAGAGGTGTATGTGAGTTTGCAAGGATGCTATCGAATGTCATAAATCGTGTAGCTCAACCAGCTGCTCAACTGCTACCCGAGTAATAGGGAATATATTAAAGGTTGTAATTAATATGTACCAGGTTCTAAATATAACTCATAAAATACTTAAAAAAGATGCACTTATTAAATGCGAATATATCAATATTTTTGTGTACTTATACGATTAGGCGTAGGTTTCTTCTTCAGAAAAATGATTAGGCCTCATTTTTTTTTATTTACATGTAATATTTATTTGTACATTAGTGATAAGTTGGTCACTACATACGAGACATTATTGTAACTCAGTAAGGAAGCTGAGTGTGTAATGATCAATGCACACGAGCTGAATATGACGGTTTTCAACACAATTGCGAGGAAAAAACAAACTTGTATTGTTACTGTGATAAAGTTCAACTGACCTTTGTTGCCAAGTATTCTGACATTCCGGAGCTACCTTCAAAAACTTTTCAAAATCGGTTGGTGACAATACTTATGATAAGTCAAAGTCAAGTGTCAAGTTACTTTATGTATATAAATCAACTGGCGGCAACAGCCTATCACTCGCGTTTCGTGAGTCGAAAAGTATTTCCGGCGGGGTTGAATTAAAACTGCTCAAATATTATTAATACATGCTAACTTATAATAAAAAAAAATTGAACCGATTTCAAAAAAACTGAAAATAAATAAATAAGATTTACCAAATGATATATTTGAAGTCGATCATTATTATTATCATGATCTCTCTGCTAAATATATGCCTTGGTACCGACTTCAAGTATATCAGGTGGTAAAAATATATTTTTCATTTTTTTAAGTCGGTTTTATTTTTATTAAAAATTATTTCATTTTACCATTTTTAGTGACATACAGAATACGCTACTAGTTGGAAATTGTACACGCGTAGATCCACACGGGTGAAACCGTGGGACATTGCTAGTAAATTATATACGAAAACCTTCTCAGATACATACGCATTTATATGCCGAAAACCTTATCCAATTCGGATTCGTAGTTTTAAGATTATCATGGACGCACATACATATAGGTGAAACTGAGAATATCCTTTTTTGAAGTCTGTTAAAAGACCGACTGTGCAGCCGAAACAGCAGAAACATAAAAAATAGAATTGCTATAAATAAATGTTTCTTAATACGTTAGTTAAGGTTATTTGTGTTTATAAACATAAAATGAAATGTTTATTTGTCATCTTAATCCTAAAATAATTTATATATTATTATAACGAAATTAAAAAAAAATTACATCACAAGTATGGTAGTTAATATGCTGAATTGTGAAACTAAAAACTTTGTAATTAATATGAGTCAGTTTACGAGCAAATGTGTTGACAAAAATGTTATTAAAACTAATAACACAATATTATAGGAATAAAAGGTAGATTAGAAAGATAAACGTTGAATAGTATAAAACTAGATTAAGTTTAATTGCAAGTTTAATAGTAAGTTTAAATAACATAGGATCAATAATTAAATACACTTACAATAAATTCACATAATAAAAATCTCAACCATAGGGACTTCATTCTTATATACGCGGCAATACCTGAATGACGTTTAAGGTTCATGTTATTTTATGTTGAAATTTCGAAATTTTACTAAATTTATTGATGTTATGTGATCTCAGTGTCCTTGTTATGTATTATTTCACTACATAAACTGGCATTTTACTTTCGATTAACACCAAATTTTAATAAAACATTCAGTACGTACACCTCATACACAACTGTCAGGTTGACTGGCTCGGTGAAAGCTCGGGTATGCCGATTTCGGCACAGTATTTGTTGCCAAATTAGACAAGTACGCCGGCGGTATCTAGTCGAGTGAAGCGAGACCAATCATTTATCTATGATGTATACACACCTCTTTCCCATGTTATAGATTCTATTGGGTATCCAGCAACTGGACATTTGATATTTAGGTCACTTCCTGCGACGGCAGTCACTTTTGGCATTTCCCGAATGTATGGTAGACCGTAGACGTTCACCCGAGCTGCGTGGAGTGCTTTCCCGGCGGAATTGCTGGCAACACAGGCGTATTCGCCGCCATCTTGTTCTGTCACTCTGCTGATGTTTAGATGGCTGACCACGTCATCTTGTAGGGTGACGTGCTGGCCCACTACAAATCTGGGAATAATGGGATAAATTGCATTTTTGGTATGCTTCAGTATGTGCGCAGTTTATGAATTGGAAAAGCGGCTAATGAGGGTGTTTATGAAAATTTACGGCACCAGTTTATGTTACTGCGGCATGATGTCTATTGTATGAAGTTTTTGGCGTGAATATATTGAACGAGCATTTAAATCGATCCATGGACTATGACGATATACGCGAATTGAAGAATGAGTAGACATTTCGACTCAGTGCTGCAAACTGTCATTCCAAAAAGCCCTTATTAGGAACTGCGTGTATCCAGAAAAACAAAGCTTTATAATTTTATCACCTGATCTGATAAAAAATCTGTGAGACGTTCTCTTTTAATAAATTTATTTATTAAATGCATAAAACTTTTTCTTTAATTGTACTCTCACCTTGAATTAGTAGGAATTGGAAACCCATCTAGCAACCAAGTAAATTGAGGTGGAGGGTGGCCCATCGCTACACATTTGAGAGACACACTAGGCCCCGGCTGTAAAGTTTGTTCCGAAAACCAGTACACCAACTCAGGTTTCGAATCTGCAAAGAAAAAAACCGTTACAATATGTTTAAAAAAAGAACATTCAAATATGGTTTCAAATACTTTTCGATTTTAGAGCATAAGATAAATGTAACTTTATTTCGAATTTGAACAATATTTGTTTCGAAAAAATAGTTCTATTACTAAACATATCAGTATTCATCCATCACCTAAGTTACAGTTGTAGAGTTTGGCGCTGGACCACTAAGGCGATATTAGCACGAACTGAAACCCAATAATGGAAGCGAACTCTATTAACTATTAAAGTTGAGTGCGAGCTATTCACACCCAAAAGTATTCCTTTCTTCTTCGTAAATCCTCTCCGCTGGCCTATAGGCACGCGCGCCGTTCTGAGCAACTCAGACTGTTGTGTATTTTCGTAAACAATGCTCCAAAGAAAAAACAGGAGCGTTTCAGGGAATGCCACTAACGCTTGTTTAATTGGGGACTCCTTTGTTATTTTTGAGGGTAGATAACCCTTTTGGTAAATGCTTAGACTCACAAAACTTCTTTTCTTGTAACAATATGAGAATTCGTGAAAATAAACGTCATTCCCATATTTGTAATTTAAAAACTTCACAATGTATTTGGGATTGTTAGGACCGGGTCTAAAATATTTTCTGAAAACAATATTGACCGGCTGCTAAATAATTGTTTTTGAAGATTGTCCATTGTTAGCCTTGGAAGTTGGAACAGTAAAAATATATACATGTACCACGGCATTAACATACCACTCGTTGGTGTGGCTTAATGAGAGGGGGACACGAATTTGGCGGGGCAGACAGGAATTGGATGGAGAGATCAGTCGACGTGGGACGGAGAGACAGGGAGATAGGTACATGAAAAGATCATGTGAGGCGTTAGATCGCAACCCGGACGGACACCCAACGGTTGAATACAGGCAGGGGGAAATCCGATAGCATTGATCTAATGAGCAGGATACACCGAAGTGCTCGGAATAAGTAGGACGCGCCGGTTAGGGTTATAGCGAACAGGACCATTACCGGACTTGTACAGAGGAGAAATGGACAGGGAGACATTTGACGGTTGCTTTAGGGACCTAAGGTTGGAGCTGCTTAAGTCCCTGACCTCTGGGATGGACTCGAAGCGTAGGTTCATCAAACGACCGGAGAGACTACGCCTACCGCTTGCCGCGGACAGGAGGGAAACCTCTCGCTGCCCTGCATAGTCGTTGCCGAGCTATGTAATCACGTTGTGCGAAGACGTGATCGCGCAAAAAAAGACGGAGAGCCCATTTATAGGTAAGGGGCATCCTCAACGAGGCGGTTCCTTCCGCGGACAATCACCTAGCGAGTGCCTGGCCGGTTGGAAATCGGGTGCCACGACCACGTCTTGGAAGGTCCGAGGACCGCGGTCCTCAAAATGCGTGTCGGGTGAACGGCGTTTAGGGCGTTAGGTAGGGTAAAAAAGGTAGGGCCCTGCTCATTTCATCGAGCCCCAGGGCTGAAGAAAATGGCCAGGGAGAAGTCCCAGAAACCTTCATCTCGCTTCTCCCCTGGTTGAAGGATGCGTAAGGCATTTTCCGATCATAAAACAAAAGGTATTTTACACGCATAGGTATAATATGTACCTAATTTAAAGCTGGCACAAATCAATATATTTCTATTTAGCTTCAGTCCCTTCTAAATACATACCTACCTATAGTATTTAAAATAACATTTACAAGTTTTTTTCAAGCTTATTAGCTTATAGATTAAAGACTCCACTTTATCAGTCAGTGTTCAGCATAAAACCTATTAAGAAGCATTGAACTTTTTAATTGTCCCCACTTGCGATCGCGAAGCTTTCCACTAGGCAGACATCGTCCATATTCATTCACCTCTAGGTTCCAACTTCTCAACATAGCAATAAATTAATACCTCTAGTTCAGTAACTACAAACAACAGTATTTATTGTTGTTTCATAATATTCGTAATTGAAATTACTTTGCTCTTTCGTGTTGGTCCCGACTCACGACATGGTGTGACATAATAAATAGGAGTCTTGGTTGTTTATTTATTCAATTACCAATATCTCTGCTTATTTACCTAATTATTTAGAAATGAATAAGAAAATGTCTGAGCACCTGGTTGACTTTAAAAATGCTGTGAGAAAACTAAATATTTACAATTAATTTGGTGTTTAACTATTATTTAAAAGACGAAGTCACGGGCAAATGCTAATATTTACTCGTATTTAAAAAGATACTCGTATACCTTATTATTTACTCAGTGAATACTATGAAAATGACGAACACGTGGCGTGGCTTTAGTCGTAAAGTTTAATTCCTTGACAGCCGACGGTAAGGAGAAAATAACAATTTAAAAACCTATTCGGGAACACTAAAGAGAAAAGCGTCCCTATTCGTGTCAAATTAAGGATGAACAAACGAAATTTAAACTTACGGTCAGGTTGGTGGTTGAAATTGACAGTCTTTGTTATTTATCATTTACAGTGATAGTCGTCATGGAAGTTTATGATGTTAAGGGTTAGATTGTACATTTTTTATATTAAGGTAGGCAAATGGCTACCCCACCTGATGTTAAGTGGTGGTAAAGACCAGACGCGAAGATATCTGATACAGCAGTTATGAACTGTCGCACTAACCATCCTCACCTTGCATACCCGCACAAATATTTCTTCACGCACATGCGCGTGCAAAGAATTCCACTTGCGAATAGTACGACAGAGAAATGAGTCTCCAAATCTCAAATACTTATATAGCAATTGGCTTGCGTAAATAGTCTTTTTGCTGGCATACTGCCATACTAAATACTTTATCTTATATTAATATGGAAGGATCAGCTTGCTTGCTTTTCCATTTGTTCCGGAGAATGATTATATTTGTTGTCTTATTATTAACTGAATGCACACTAATTTTATATTTTTTCTTTTATTTATGCTTATATAGCATAAAAAAAGAAGCGCGTATACTAAAAAATATAAAATGAGTTTTTGAGCTTCCTTCAGGTTTCTCTGAAAGCTTGACTATTTTTTTTGTGAATGTTACTAGCTAGCATCAATTCAATTGTATGAAAACGCGATAAATTGTTTATATAGGTTTTTTATAAATCAAAATATGTAATAAACAAATTGAATTTTAGTTTTTAATGCAGTGACACAACAGCCATCGTGTTGTGTCACTGGCACTGTTTATAAACTATATACCAACTACAATCCGAATATTATAATGTACGGCTGATTGACGATTACATTCTAGTCTGCCAGCTGTAATTGGCAAAACTCAACTCAAATTGAAATTTTATCATCATCGAATTATATATCTAAATATAGGTAAAAACTTCTTTCACTGTCGCTTTTGGAAAATTTTGCGCCTAATAAAAACATCACTATTTTTGCCGATGAACATATACCCCGGAAGTCCTTTCCTTTATCTACACTTGCAGACACATTCGCTCTATCTACTTATAACTTTTTTTGCCAGCCTCTCGAAGTTTCGAAATTATTGACCAATGACATAACATTATCACATCATTTTCTTCAGGCACTATAGTTATCTTTTATTGATTTTCACATTCCATACCATCCCTACTAATATTAGCTATAAATGAGAAAGTTTGTCTGTCTATCTGTTATCTCTTTATGGACATATTTATGGATATATTTACTCGCTTAAAAGATTTAGAGATAGTTTGAGTTAAGGTAAAGGTTATAGGATAGTTTTTATTTCAGAAATCAACCTTTAAAGGGGTGAAAAACTTCATGTTTGAAGTGAAAAACTTTTATAGGAAACCTTTAAATTCCATCAAGTCGCTGGCACCCACTAGTTCATAATACGTGTGTTGCATTATCTCTTGAATTATGTATAAGTTAATCTTTGGTTAATTTGGTTGGTAATTTCTCCGCGTCTAGTTGGGTTTGCTCTATGGCGGGAACAAATGAGGCTTGTTAACGGCGGCCAGCCGCCCGTGTGATTTATCGACTAAGCTCTTATAGTATATTTTTAACAGGAATTGGATTGCTTTTACACGTTTGTATAAGATTTTCGTTTGTTTTAGGGTACTACTTGCGGTTTTTGCCGGTTAAGTTCTTTCGTCAAAGATGTGTTATGATTATTTTATTAATTTAATGTTATTTTTTATGCTTTGCTCTGTAAACATATTAGCTTCTGCATTCCTTTTCCATATCTTCTATCATGCAAAATCTCATAACTTCATTCATATGAACAAAATGTACAAAAGGTAAGTTTATGAAAGTTTTTCCTTCATCATAGACATATATTAATATAATGATGAACACTTAAGTGTTCGTATAAATATATTAGGCAATGAATTAATCGAGATCTGGAAAAACTAATGCACCTTATAGACTTGAAACATACACGATTCCGCTTGCTGGACCCAGAAGAGCAGTGACACCAAATAGCGAACGAATTAATAATGAAACAAAGCGGCTTATATTTCATCGCGCCAGTAGCTATAGTAGACCTTATGTGCACGAGATAAGATCTTAATTGAGAGGCGTGGAGTTAGTATTTAGCGCAGGGTGGATGCGCCCGCGGCACGCTGCGTCACTGAAGCTCTTTGTTCGAACTGAAGGGCTGACTCTAATAGCTTGCAGCGGATCCACGCTTAAAAATGGACTTTTAAATATTTTATGAGGTAGCGGGGCCGGATAAAAATGGGAGATATCCACATGATACATAACTTGCAAGTGTGTTAGCTCGGCAAATTACGTTACAGTGGCAGCGACGTTATATAATGTAACACGTTTCATAAACCATTTTTGTGACGAATTTATCTTTTGCTACTGTCATGTCGTTGATTTTATTCTTTTAGAAGGTTCAGAAGTTTACAATTTGTGTTCATCATTCTCTAGTGATATTTGCGTTCGTATTTTTGATGTTGGGAGGCTGATTTGTAATTGGATTTTGTGAATATTTATTTTGAAATATTGAGCGTTATTATCTACAACAACTACAAGTGTCGCCACACACGGGCCACCGACCACAACCACAAAACGCCGCCACTGGTATATTTCTTGTAGTTTTCATACATTTTATATGAAATCGCCACACACGGTACGCTGGTGGCCGCCACACACTACAAATCGTCGTTGCTCGCTTCTTGTGGCCCGCACCGGTCACTTAATGCGCCGATACAAAACATCGCCACACGTCACTCGCGCGATTCCCCACCCCTCTCTTTCTATCCTTAGTCGGCCGCTTCGCGCGCTTCAGCCACTTTAGTAGCCACTTCTAGCTTCTCATGGCGGCGTTTGTGGCTGTGGCGTGTGGCCCGTGTGCGGCGACACTTAGAATAAGGAGTGCCCAACACTCGCTATTTACAAATGTAGTTCCCGCTGTAAACTACATATTATGACAAAATAATGTGTTTCATAAACCACAATTGTGACTAATATATCTTATATTACTGTCGCTTATCTTATTGTTTGAGAAGATTCGGAAGAGTTAACAGCTTCCGTTTATTATTCTCATAATAATATTATAAGTGGATAATCTCAGAAACTAACTGGTTCGAATTCAAATCACGCTACGCCCAATAGGAGCGGAGCATTAATACAAAACGTCCAAAAACGGGAAAAGGTATTCTGTTCTCAGATACCGTTCTGCGTAAACCGTTAAAGTTACGCAAAAAACAGATATGGCGTAATTTTTTCTTTTAACAAGTTTTAAAAAAATCCGCTTTAGCATATTTTAGTGGTTGACTCTCTATAAAGGTGCACTACCTTTATAGAGAGTCAACCACTAGAATGTAAAATATGTAATGTAGCCTATTATATATCACGTCCACATGATCCACTATTTGTCCAGTGTTCGTCCAGATGCATTTGTATAATAAGTTATCTATATATACAGGGCGTCCCACGGCCATGCCACATGGAAGGAAAGTATATTAAATATTGAAGAGATATTTTACTGAAAGAAGATATCATTTTATTCTTAATAATAAGTAGTACTATGTTGTCATTTTTTTAAATCGTCTGCCACAACTGTGAAGAGAACTCGTGAAATGTGAAAAAAACACAAGATGTATTTTATGATAACCTCCGAAAGGGTTAATCAAAGGGAAAGGGTGCGCAGAACTTAATAATATTTTGACGTGACAACGTCTTAAATTAGGTTGCGGCTGGGAGTCACTTATGAAAAAGTGTAACGCTCGGTAACGTTACGATGAGTTTAAGTTTACATGTACAATGTTTTAGTAAACAAAATATATTTCTATAGTTAAAATTTGTGCAATTCTTATTTTCATTCAATTCCTTGTTCCTATTGTGCAATTTAATTATATTCATATCAATAAATATTCTACCGAGAAAAAGACGTTGTCACGTAAAATCTTCGCCCGTAAAACCGACTTTACAGGCAACCATTTTTTTTTTTTTAATTATGGAACTCTGACTTAGCCGAATTCCAGTTTTATAATAGGCTAGTTGACTCATGTCGAATTGTACTAAATAAATGTTTATTTCTTACAGTATTTGGTCTAAGGAACCTAAAAATATCGATTTTACTTCATAAAAGCAGAAGATTGCTGTAGAAATTTAATTTTAAAAAATATTTTTTAGTCTATATTTTTTAAACACTAAAAACGCTGTTCGCCACATCCGCCATGATTTTGACGTCTCTTTCAGTAAACAACTAAATGTCATTCGCGTGTTATTGTGGGTGGATTCTTTAGTCTGAATAAATTTATCTTAAAACACTTTTACCTTTAGAAAAGTTTCCGTTTACTGTTTTTTTTTGACAAAACTAATTATGGATGCCTGCTTTGTGAACGCAGAAAGCACAAATCTGAATTTTTTGCACTAAACCCCGATTTCTGCTCTGCGGAGCAGAGAAACGACAAGGCATCTATGTAAGTACAGTGCATTTAGTATTACAATGTAGTAATAAACATAAAACTGATACAACATATGAATAAGTGTAATAAAGTTGCGTAGGTTAATTTCTTTCGGCACTTTAATCCACAACATTCCTGGAGTCTTCAAGGATGTGGTTTTATATTCTCGTACAATACAATAATGATGATTACTTTATTTTTCGTGATATTTAATAGAAATCATGTTCTTTTTATTATAAACTCGGATAAGTTATTTTCTACGTGCTTACGGGTTTTTGTTTACTACTGTTGACATCATAGCATAGACAATTTATAGACTAAAATGGCCGACAGCGTTTTTGTATGTCCATGAAAATTCTATTTTAAAATTAAAGATTTGTAGCTTTCTAGGTCTCAAAAAAATACAAAACATTTTTTTTCGGTCTAATAGAACATTTATTAACCATTTAAAACCTTTTTCCAAAAAGGGTCAACTAGCCTATTGATTTGAAGTCACGGCAGCGGGCAGCTGCCGGGCATAGCCTCTATGCCTTGGGGTAGAGGACACCTGGAGATGGGGGTTCCTGGGAGTCGGGGTCAGTGAAGGAAGGCTTCCGAGGGGTGGGCTCTTAGGGGATTGGGAACACGTGGTCACGTCAAGGGCACCGTAGCAGAACAGGGGCATTTGGAGGAGCGGGGAGGTAGGACTAAAGAGTGAGCGATCTCTGGGATCGGAACCACCTGGAGAGTGGAGTATATCAAGGGATCAAGGTTCCAGGGCACCTAGGGGTAGGTTAACCCAGGGATCGGGGGCAATAGACGAAGTTAGGTTAGGTTAGTGTTGCGGCTGGCGAAGCGCCAGAACGATATATTAATTAAAGATTATTTTGAATCAGACTATACAGTTTAGAACCGTATGACGGATTGTTCAGGGGGGGGGGGGGGGTGGCGATTTCTTTATCCTACCGGTCACCGGACCCCAGGTGGCTCTCAATGAATATCGTTTACAAAGAAGAAGGTATTAGCTTAAAGAAATGCAAGAAGAGCTCTTCACTTTATCAGAAAAATCATGTCATTACGTAAGATATGTTGTTATTATCCGACGTCCACGCGAACGAAGTCGCGGGCACAACTAGTAATAAATATAATTTTTTTGTTAAATACTCATATTTTTTTTCTAAATAATCAACGAATTAAAAAAATAATGCATTTTTGCGGTTGGCCTTTCTACGCCTTGTGGATACCTTGGCGATACCGAATCAAAAAGCGATCTAATATCAAATGCAACTTGCCGAAACGCCACTAATACTTTTTCGTTGAGTAATACGTAGTCTATGCGGAAGTTTGCTTTGTTTAGCTTATAATGTAGGTGTATGTACGCGTTATCAACGCGTTTATATAATGTCGCATTTACACGCTGGTCTAGTCGGCTTTACAATTAAAGCTCATGGAAGCCCTGCTAATGCTAATCAGAACTTTGAATCAGTCAAGACTTGATTAGTGTGTACGTACATGCGACTAACAGCTGTATTCAGAGACGTCAAATAAATTGAATGCGACATTTAGTCACGTGTTGTCTCATTCTATTTTTATCGCAAACGGGGTAACAGCTCTAACTTTAATCACACTTATTGCTTAGAAAATAAGTTCATTCGATTTGTATTTAATATGTGATTCAAATGGAAGGTTTAAGATCGTAGCAGACATCAACTTGGAACTCGAGGGATAGTCACTGTATCAATTCGAGCCGTTCGTCTCAGATTACAGAACAAAAAGCAGATGGAGCGCACGGAACTCGCAATGCGTGGCACCATAGCAAATACGAAGCCAAAAGCGACTATCAATTCGCATCAGTACACTACAACGCATCGTGTTGTGAATACGTTCCATGAAGTTTTTATCAAAACAGTGCCGCCTTGTTCATACATCGTAAAAACTGTTCACAAATACAATAAAAAGCAGTTTCTTTTGACTTCGTATTTGCTTTGGTAGCACACATTGCGTGTACCGTGCGCTCCATCTGTCTTTTGTTCCATAATCTGAGTGCTCAGAATTCGTTGTATCACTACTGTAGGAAGGCCAAAGGGTGGGGGGGAGGGAAGATCTTCCTCCGAGCTGGGTGATGATAGCTCGGGGGCCGCGGCCCGACTGATGTTGGTCGGGCATCGTATATATGAAGAGTTAGCCTCCGAATTTCATTTGCGCAATGTAGGCTTCCATACTATTATGATCGCAGTGCAGGTAACGTCATCTCTTGAGGATGGTGAGTAATGATCCGTTGTATATATGTGGGGCATATAGATGTCGCCGCCACACTACCTACGCACACAAATCGGGATCGTAATCTTATTGTCTTACGAAGAAACACGACCTTGTCCCGGGGTGAGGCGATTATGTTATCATTTCGATTAGTTTGCGTTGCGGTAGGGAGTTTCATACAAAGGGTGCTGAACGACTCCAGTCGATACGGTGACGATCGCTTTCCGAGTTGATGTGTCTGAAGAAAACAAAATTAAACCGTAATATTTACCGAAGCGAAGCGTGGGCGTGACACTAATTGGGGTATAATACAAACCTCTTGTGCCAGTGAAATTCCAATCAGCGGCGTCGTGTGTGTGCGCACTGCGAGCGTATGGCGTGCGCCTCGAGCGATTACCGGCCGATCTTCCGTGGCCCTCCGTAACTGTGAATATTTGTTCAAGTGAGTATAACACGCTCGGTTTTCATAAAATTTCAAGCACATGCGTCATCTACTTAAATTTATTTATGTTCTCAATACTGTGTGACTGAAAGAGATTGCTGGCGCAGGTGATTAGTGCATTCGGTCAGCGATCCTGGAAGGTAAGGAAAAAAGGGCCCTACCCTTTTTAACGAGATGATTTCTACCTGGTCCGGTGGCGGATAAATTTGTTCACGAGCACGGTTTGTACGTTTGTACCGACGCCAAACCGTAGCTAGCGCCGGTGTCCATAGTGTCCCATACCTAACTGACCACCCGGGCTTAGACAGGCGTAAAACCGTGTCCTATAGGACAGGATATATCCAGCGGAAAACTTTCTCGCTAACGAGTACTTTCGCAATGGATGTCTGAATGACTTAAAAATAATTATTTCAAGCTCCTCCGTGCATTAGAAGGCCCGTTAAGCAGTTGATTCCAGCTGCATCTGCAGTCGTTAGTACCCACCAACCCGCAATGAGCCCGCATGGTGGGTCATGCGTGGCACCCATGGAGAAGGCCTGTGCCCCAGCAGTGGGCCACTAATAGGAACGGAGAGAGTAAGCGGAGTGATATGTTTATTACGAATCGCATACAAGAAAGAAGGATGGAAAATGTATCACATGAGAAAGGGGGTTGTTATTGCTGGACTAGCAATAAGAATACAATCCACCCAGTAACTGATAAGCTAAGCTTTCGTGGGTAATAACTCGTTTTCGTGAATAGAGTATAAATTTGACTATGCTCTTTCTTTAACGACACATCAAGAGTGAAAAGAAAGTTCATGTGCGTTCGTGAATACAGTAAGTTTCGATCAGTGTGTTAAATAACAATGTTGAAATAACACATCAAGTGTTTTTTTTTTTCATTTTATGCATTTAACTGCTAGATGTTTAAATGTAAATAAATTTTAACTACTAAAAAACCTCCATTTGGACTAGGTTTCAGACGGGACCCCGTCTGAACGTTCCACTACGGATGAAACGTCCCCGACCGAGTCAAGTTATTAAGTATTTTTCTGAAGAAATATAAGAATTTAGGAATCAAATACGCAAGTGCGTACGTAATCGTTTTAGGTACACAGACGTAATGTCGATACCTAGTCATTTAATAGCACTACAAACTGATGTGTAAAAATGATAAAATTTAATCTTCTTCAGTATTATTTATACATCCTAAAGCGACAGTTTTATATTGTTCAAAGAAAGGACTTTGTCCTACAAAGAGTTCATGAAGAAAAAGAGATCATAGCAAACAGACGTCAATACCAAGTTAACGAGATCGCCTCGGGCAGGCCAGTTTCCCGCGGTCACCTCAAACAAACCTTTTCTGAACTTTTCAGTACCTTCTGTAGCTAGAAGCTCAACAATCTTTAGGAAAGGGAAAAGTCTAAAAGAATCGCAGAGAAATCATAATTTTAGTAGATAAGTAATGCCTAGTTCTCGGAAATTTATTCTGTGATCAGATCAATTTGAACCTACAGACTTTGAAATGAATTGGGTATGTTTGATTTTCATCAGTTTAAAATGTGCATGATCTCAGAAAATATTATTCCTTTCGCTTCTAATAATTACCCAGGATAGGCTGTCGATTCAGTAAATGCATTATTGAATTTATTGACGTTCGTGTAAATTTATTTTTATACTATATAGCGATGGTTCTTAACCGGTGGTCCCTGGAAGCCATTAAAAAAATACATAAGAAAGAATGTCATTGATTTACTTACAATTCAAATGCAATTCATGAGTGGTAATTTATGACTTAAATCATAACCTATTCTTAAAATAAACACTGAACTCCTTTGTATTGTGTCTCATGCCCTACACTCCGGAATTAAAAACTATGTAACTTAGAGTAAGTGGGCAAAGTAGCGTAACTGAACTCACCATTAATCACGTACTCTGCTATTCCATAAGCTTGATCCCGGGCATTGCTCACAAAACATTGATAGATTCCCTGGTCGTGCTTCTGAGTGTTTTTGATATGTAATCTTAGGCCATCTTTTGATAACTGTATCCTGTCATTGGCCTCGAGAACTCTGGCGTCATGCACCCAGTAAATGATTTCTATGGGGTGGCCGGACACTTTACACTCGAAGTTTACGTCCGAGTTCACTTTTGATCTTAACACTTCGGGTTTTATACGGACGGAGATTGGTTCTGTAAACAATAAGCATTATTTAATTTTAGAAGAAGTTAGTTAGTCTTACTTAGTTTGTTTTGTTAGATACCGTTTATTTTGACTATAGTAATGTCACGTCATACACATAGTAAATTTGTAATGTGTTGAGGAATGGTATTTTTTTTCTCTAATATTTTAACTTTAGCCAAATTTTACTATGTTTCAGAAAAGGCGGCCTTTATCCTTACGTTTACATTGTGCTTCATAGAATGATTGCAGGTAATAAACGCAAGATACGCGCAAGAGTTGTTTGAAACACATACGGCGTAACACACATAACGGTTGACACATAGTCTAATTCTGTCTAATATATCTTATATATTAAATTCTTGTGTCACAATGTTAGTTACTATACTCCTCGGAAACGGCTTGACCGATTTTCATGAAATTTTATATGTATGCACTCAGAACAAGGCTGCGTTCATTTTATTGATTACTGAGCAAGAGAGCATTAATTCCTTGAGACCAGTCATATATCGTTCGCTCTGTTGTCTCCATTTAACGAGCGAGCAAATGTTTGCTCGTTCAGAACTGTTCAGAACGCGGCGAAATGCTGCATTATACAATAGTTTTTCCTTAAACTCTTCAAGCTTCACTTACCTGTGACAATAAGGGTGAAGTGTACGGACTCCCCACCGACGGTGTTGTTGAGCCAGCAGACAAAACGACCCAAGTCCTCTCTCCTCACTGCACTGATGCTGAGGAGACCGCCGCCGAACAGTCTTATACGCGGCCATATTGTACTCTTCTCTATAGGTACTAACTGCTCGTGGTGATCTCGAAACCACCTGTTGGCAATGATATTTTTTTAAATATATTGTAGGTGGCATACGAGCAGACGGCTCATCTGGTAAGTGATCACCGTCATCCATAGATATTTGCTACAGCAGGAATAAATGGGATGCTTGCCTAAAAGTAAAAACCCATTTTCAAAGTATATTAATAACTTCGTTTGCGTGGAAAAATTGGTTTTCCATTCAAACTTTCACACCACTTTTCATCACCATAAAAGGGGATAAAAACTAGCAGCAAGTAACATAATATAAAAGTTCTTATAGTTCGTTGTAACTTTGATCGATATTTTAATAATAGTGTATTTTATTTTATATTAAGATATATGTTTTTCTTTATATTTATATTTGATTTGATTGAAAAAAAAAGGTAAATTGCGGTTTACGATTTATGACTTCGTTCAAACTAATATTCGGTGGAAGTTGCATTTTTATATTTTTTTTAGTTTTATCATTCTATTATTTTAAAAGGGGGGGGGGGGGGCACACATATTATCACCTTGGAAGAGTCTATCGCGCAAACTTTTCAGTTTAGAAAAAAATGGTATTAGAAACCTCAATATCATTTTAGACCTATCCATAGATACCCCAAACGTATGGGTATGATGAAAAAATGTTTTTTTGAGTTTCAATTCTAAGTATGGGGAGCCCTTAAAATTTATTGTTTTTTTTTTATTTTTCTTTGATAATCTTAATGCGGTTCACAGAATACATCTGCTTACCAAGTTTCAAGTTTCAACAAGTATGGTTCTTATTCCAATGTTTATCTTTATTATACTTTTGGAGAAAAAGTGACCGTAACATACGCATGAAAAGACAGACGGACATGACGAATCCATAAGGGTTCCGTTTTTGCCATTTGGCTACGGAACACTAAAAACACCTTATTTAAAGAATACATAAATTACTTTCCTCATATTTCGAAATGAATCTAGTTAAAAAGTATTGTTTATTGTTAATATTACTTGCATTGAATAAGGCAGTTTAAATCAAAGTAACAACAGGCTTATGGCAACGAAGGATGCGAAGGAAAATAACACGTTTCCATTTCGTTGAGAACGGATTTGTTTGCTCAAGAGAGCAATTTAATTAATTAGTACGGTAAACAATTTGTTTACTTTGATACAATTCGTTTGCTTGAAATGCTTAACAGGGTTCTTGAGGAAAAGTTTAAGATTCTACGGTACATGAATATTTATGGAAAATACCTTAATTTGTGAATGTTTGTCTAAGTAACTATGTCATAAATATTAGCTAAGTTGTTTTGACTGCTCTGTGAAACCAAAGTTCTTTGTCAAAGCCTGTGTAATATTACTTACAGTAAACCAAATATTAAGGTACAGATAAAACTTTATGAATAGACAATTAAAGCTACGACCCTACGAGAAAGAAGAGTAAAGGAAAGTTATAGAAGAATTATATGTTTTTATTCGATACATTTATCTCCAAACGTGTCTTCAAAATCTTAGGGACACCTGTGCAATATACACTTGTCAGCAAATAAACTGGAACACTCGCTAGCTCTGAATATTTTTTTTGTAAAAATACTGAAATTGCGTTTCATTATGATATAAATGACAAAAAAATCTAAAGGAATGTCAACTCACTTTGCAATAAAGCAATTAATATAATGCTAATTTGCAATTTTTTTAATAAAGTTGCAATTAACGTTCTTCTCTTAAAAAATGAAGATAGTCTGATACTTCTAACCGTTTATATTTTTATTTTTTAAGAGTGTAACTGCTAAATGTTAAAATCTAAATAAAATTTTACTAGAAAAAAATCCACGCGGACCAGTCAGCAGACGGGACTCGAACTCGCACCCTTCGCTATCCAGGCGAATGCACTGACCATTATGCTACCGGGGCCCTGATGGCCGTGTCGAATTTTCTCTAGTCATTACTTAAGCTGCAAGGCAGCGCCATCTATTCGTATTGTAGGTAACCCACAATGTCAAATGAATACCTTTATAAGTATTAAACGAAATAAGAAATAGCAATTATAGTTATATTTTTGGAGTTTACTCCTTAAGAATCGATTTGCATATATAAGGGGCCCGGTATGAGAAAAATGTGAGGAGTAAAATCTATCGATGAATGGCCTCGTTACGTTTTTGGTGCGCATCCTATGTCGCGCAACTTTGACAAACAAAGATGACGGATTGACATTAATAAAAAAAATTAAATCTGAACTGAATTTAGATATTGTTTCTGATAGAGCAATGGGGACAACCATTGATGCGGTATTTTCAAGATTCGTGAACCACGTATCTACAAACGACAATGTGTCTTATTTTAGTTACCATAAACCACTTGTCACTGTAATTAATAATGCAGACAATGTTGATTTAATTAATATTTAAAAAAATGATAATAGTCTGATAATAATAATTACATAATTTATCAACATTCCTAATGATATATTTATGCACATCTGAAATTGACTATTGTAAAAAGTTTAATGTAAAATATTTCGTCGATTACTTATAATAAATGTATATGAAATGAATAAATATATATTTATATTATGTATATTATTTTCATTAATTTGTTAATTTACCCTTTCATACAGTATCAATATTTTTTAAGTTAAATAAACTCTTTTTGCGTCTGGTTAGACTATCGAACCTAAGGAGTAAACTCCAGTCGTGCGTCGGAGCTGACACACACAATTTTTTAAAGCCTGTCACTGCTAGATGTTTTAAATCTAAAGAAAATTTACTAGATTTTTTTTTTCTGCTATCTGGTCCGCGTGAATTTTTTCTAGCAAATTTTCTTTAATTTCTTACCATTTCGTGCATTGTTTTCTCAGACGTAAGTATTTTTGCTACGATTTTACTACCGATTAACACAACTGGAAAACGACCTACTTGTCTTTGGAAAATTCTTAATAAGAACTTTATAAATTGATTATACTCAATAACGACGTGACGTGACATGAATTCCGGTGGGGGCAGATGTTAGAGTGATGAATATAAGCATTTGTACTCCAGTCATGGATGTTTAATTTGTATTTCTATATATATATATAGTGCTTACTTTGGGGCTAGGCTATTTGCTGTGAGTGTTAAAATATTTATTTATTTAATTTTCTGTTAATTTAAATCATAATACAACTCATTTTCTGAATGTTTAACTTTGATAGTTGTCAGTTTTTTACTTTTTGAGAAATTCAAATCAGAGTTCCAATTTAGCAAGGGTTTACATGCTATCTAGTGTATTTACTTGCTTTTACACCAAGTTAATATTTAAGCTGGTACTAAATTAAGATGTCTATGTTTCGTACACTTTAATACAAGTTAATTAAATTTCGTACGCTCTAATTAATTAAAGTTAATGTTAGTACCTGAGCAAATTCCGCCAACCAGAAATAGTGGTGGCTTTGCTAACGAATATGTGAAATTTATAAATTTAGGAAATTATAATTAGTCTTGAATTACTCTAGTATCACACGAAACAATTTAAACTTTAAATGCGTAGAATTTATGGCACAGGTAATTTAAAAGACAAGTACTAAATCTAAAGAACCAAAATCGGACGAATAAAGAATAGGTAAGCAATATAGAGGAGCTCGATGGCGCAGGTGGTTAGCGCGTTCGGCTGCGATCGTCGTAGTTAAGCAACTTCCGCAGTGGTCATTGGATGTGCGACCAAAAATCTTCTATCTCGAGTTCCGCCGTGCTTCGAAAGATACGTTGAGCCGTTCGTCCCGGTTGCATTTGCAGTCGTTAGCACCCACCAACCGCACTGCGCCCGCGTGGTGAGTCATGGCCAAATCTCCCTATTCCACCCATAGGGAAGGTCTGTGCTCCAGCAGTGGGGACATTAATAGGCTGATGAAGATGAAACAATATAATAGTACTAGGCTGCCGGGACAGCATAAGCTTTAACTTTAGGTTTTCCAAAATCCCTCAGGATCTTACACTTTTCTGGGATATAAAGTATCCTATGTGTCTTTCTAGGTTATACCTACGTTGTCTGTGTGTGAAATTCGACCTCCGTGGCTGAGTAGTATGTACACCGGGTATCATGGTGGCACTTACTCGAGAGGTCCCGGGTTGGAATCCCGGTGGGGGCAGATGTTAGTATGATGAATACGAGCAATTGTACACCAGTCATGGATGTTAAATACGTATTTCTATATAAAAATACTTATAATGTATTAGTATAATATGTATTCTCCCTTACCTTAGTATCCCTTAACACAAGCCTACAGTGCTTACTTTGGGGCTAAGTTAGTAATGGGTGAGTTAAAAAAAAATAAAATTACTTCCAAATCTGTTCAGCCGTTTTTGAGGGATTGAATAACAAACATAGAATCTGTCACATTCATAATATTACTAGCGGCCGCTCGCGACTTCGTCCGCGCAAAATTTTTATTTTTTTGAGAATCTCACAGGAACCTGTAGGTGATTCTGATAAATAAAATCTCACTTCCGATTTCGGTAGCGGCCATTTTAAACATTAGTTTGATATGTTAAAGGGCAAAATATCGCTATATCTTTAGGTGCAGCCAGTATTATATTTGACATTTGTCAGAAATCCGAATAAATGAGATCGTAACTGAGATTGCATCTTACAAAATATCTATGCTGTAATTTTTCCTGGAAGAAAAGTATCTATATAAACTATATGCGTACTTAATTTCATCCAAATCCATTCAGTAGTTTTTGTGTGATTGTGTAGGTATGCAAACATACAAACTTTCACATTTGTAATATTAGTAGGTTAGGATAGTAGGATTACATTGGTGCCCTTGACTTTTATTTTCGTTTGGACTTATCCAAATATCAGCTATGCGAACTAACACGATGTTGAATACACATTATTCAAGGGTTAATTTCCAGTACCTAACTGCGGGAATGCAATTATCCCAGCATTGAGCAACATTCCTTCTGACCCGAGTGGAATTTCACGGAAACGAAACGGTAATATGAAAACTGCAATGTTCTAAAACTATTCTTAGAGAATTGTAAGGAGTTGTAATGCAGCGGGACT